GCAGCGTGTGGCGATTTGCACGTGCTCTTAGACTGGTCGCCACCTGGCCACGTTCGCTCGTGCGCCGGGGTCCAGTCTGTACACCCTCACCACTGCGTCACGCTCCGCCCCTTTGTCTCCCCAGTTGCACGCGTCTGCTCAGGTAGCTACACAGTGTGAGTGTCGCCGGCTGTCGCACGACACTCTCCTGTGGCACCACCGCCTTGGTCACCCCTCCCTGCCTCGCCTACGCAGCATGCACTCCCGCCTCCTGGTTTCTGGGCTTCCCAGGTCTCTGCCTCCCCTCCCTCCCTCGCCTGCGCCGCCCTGCATTCCCTGCGTCGAGGGGCGGCAGCGCGCCGCTCCTCACTCCTCCTCGTTCCCTCCCACAGAGGCTCCACTGCAGACTCTCCACCTGGACATGTGGGGCCCAGCCCGCGTCCGTGGACAGGGCCACGAGCGGTACTTCCTGCTGGTTGTCGACGACTACACGCGCTACACCACGGTCTTCCCCTTGCAGCGCAAGGGGGATGTCCCTGATGTTTTGATCCCCTGGATCCGCGCTACTCGTCTCCAGCTCCGCGAGCGGTTCCAGTCGGGCTTTCCTGTCCTGCGTCTGCACTCTGACAGAGGTGGTGAGTTCTCCTCAGACCTCTTGGCAGCCTTCTGTGCGGAGCACGGCATCCGCCAGACTTTCACGCTTCCAGCCTCTCCTCAGCAGAATGGGGTTGCTGAGCGCCGCATTGGCCTAGTCATGGAGGTCGCTCGTACCTCCATGATCCATGCGGCTGCCCCCCATTTTCTGTGGCCGTTTGCGGTCCGGTACGCCGCGCATCAGCTCAACCTTTGGCCCCGTGTCTCCTTGCCGGAGACCTCGCCCACACTGCTGTGGACGGGGAAGGCTGGCGACGCGTCGCGTTTCCGGGTCTGGGGTGCTCGTGCCTTTGTCCGCGATACCACCGCGGACAAGCTCTCCCCTCGCGCCATTCCTTGCGTCTTCCTTGGCTTTGTCCCTGACGCGCCTGGCTGGCAGTTTTACGACCCCGCCTCGCGCCGTGTCTTTGCGTCTCAGGACGTCACCTTTGACGAGTCCGTCCCCTTTTACCGCCTCTTCCCCTACCGCACTGCTCCTCGCCCCCCCCCCCCGCCGCTCTTTCTCGCCCCAGGTCTTCCCCAGGTAGACCCCCTCCCCGCGCCAGGTCCTGCTCCTTCAGGTGTCTCTCAGGTAGACCCCCCCGCGCCTGCGCCTGTTGAGGTCACTGGTGCTGGTGGCACTGCTCAGCAGCGCCTGTTCTTCGCTCCGCCGTCTCCGTCGTCTCAGTCACCACCTGACTCTGCACTTCGCCAGGTTCTCAGTCTTCCCTCGTCTACTGGTCTTCCGTTACAGCCTGGCTCACCGCTGCCTGCTCCTTCTCCGTACACAGAGCAGACTAGGGGCCTTGCTGAGCGTCATGAGCCTGCGTCGCGTCCTGTCTCACCTGTCCGTTCTGGTCGTTCCGGTCATCGTGTTCCTCGTCAGCGGCAGCCGGCTGTCTCCGGCTCTCACCTTGTAGTTCGTCGTCCTTCCTCTCCTCCGCTGCGTGTTCCTCTGCCGTCTCCCCCTGCGTCCTCTCTGCCTGTCGTTACTGACCCTGCGTCTGACCAGTTTCGTGCTGAGCACTCTACTGTCACGCGTCTGCTTGCCACTGTTGTCACTGACCCGTCGTTTGAGTCTGCTGCTGCGTCTTCCTTAGTCGCTGAGCTTGTTGACTTTGCTGCTGCCTGTCGTCTCGACTACGCCGCCAGTCTTGTTGCTGAGTCTGAGTCTGTCTGTCCTCCATCCGTCGGGGGTGAGTGTGCTCTTGGCACGGACGTCCTTGAGGACAGACAGGAGGACCTTGAGTGTCTTGCAGCCGCTGCGCCTCATCTCGTATCCATGCTGCTTGCCCCTCAGGGAGACCGGGATGCACCAGACATCCCTACCCCGCGCTCTTACGCTGAGGTGATCGCGGATGAGTACTCCTCTCAGTGGCAGACAGCCATGGACGCAGAGATGGCATCCTGGAAGTCCACAGGCACCTACGTCGACGAGGTTCCCCCTCCTGGGGCGAACATTGTCAGTGGCATGTGGATTTTTAGGGTGAAGCGGCCGCCAGGTTCTCCGCCTGTCTTCAAGGCTCGGTACGTGGCTCGAGGCTTCAGTCAGCGAGAGGGAGTTGACTTCTTCCAGACCTTCTCCCCCACCCCAAAGATGACCACTCTTCGGGTGCTGCTGCACGTTGCCGCTCAGCGTGACTACGAGCTTCACTCTCTTGACTTCAGCACAGCCGTCTTACAGGGCAGCCTGCATGAGGAGATTTGGCTGCGCCGCCCTCCTGGCTTCACTGGGTCGTTCCCTCCTGGTACCCAGTGGAGCCTCCGACGGCCGGTCTACGGTCTCCGCCAGGCGCCACGTGAGTGGCACGACACACTGAGGACGACACTTGCGGCTCTTGGGTTTGTTCCGTCGACTGCTGACCCGTCGCTGTTTTTGCGCACCGACACTTCTCTGCCGCCGTTCTACGTTCTCGTGTACGTCGACGACTTGGTCTTTGCCACTGCTGACACTGAGGCTCTCGCCCTGGTGAAGTCGGAGCTGCAGAAGAGACACACGTGCACAGACCTGGGTGAACTGCGCAGCTACCTTGGCTTGCAGATCACCCGGGACAGAGCACGCCGCACCATCACACTGACTCAGTCACACATGGTGCAGCAGGTCCTTCAGCGCTTCGGTTTCACCTGGTCCTCAGCACAGGCCACTCCTCTGGCTACAGGTCACTCGCTCTCAGCTCCACCTTCGGACGAGTCCGTAGAGCCGAGTGGTCCTTACCCAGAGTTAGTGGGCTGCCTCATGTACCTGATGACTTGCACTTGTCCTGACCTTGCGTACCCTCTTGGCCTTCTGGCTCGCTACGTGGCTCCTGGTCGGCACCGAAAGATGCACATGGATGCTGCCAAGAGGGTACTACGCTACTTGTGCAGTACATCGGGCATGGGGCTCGTGCTTGGAGGACGGGGTGACGTTGTCCTCACAGGTCACTCGGACGCCTCTTGGGTTGACGACCAGGCTACGCAGCGGTCGTCACAGGGTTACACCTTCAGCCTTGGTTCTGGTTCAGTTTCCTGGCGTTCTACACGTTCGTCTTCAGTTCTCGGCTCCAGCTCTGAGGCAGAGATCTACGCCACAGCCATGGCTGCACAGGAGCTGCGCTGGCTCACCTACCTGCTGACCGACTTGGGAGAGAGGCCTCGTTCTCCTCCAGTTCTGTACGTCGACAACAAGGCCGCCATTGCCTTGTGTCAGGAGCACAGACTGGAGCACAGAACAAAGCACATCGCTCTCCGTTACTTTCTTGCTCGAGAGCTGCAGCAGCGTGGCCAGCTTCGTCTTACCTACGTGGCCACTCGAGCCAATACTGCTGATATATTCACCAAGGCGCTTCCACCTGGTGATCATCAGCGTTTCTGCACTTTGTTAGGCCTTGTGCCCACTCTTCCTCACTTGCTGTAGGCCTTGTTTGTACCATGATTTATATGTATTCCTGCATGCTTGTTCTTGTAGGTAGATATCGCTGTACTGTTGTTGTTACATATATATTTCTGCATGTGAACTGGCGTTGTCGCCTTCTTGTTTGTGCTCAGACTGCGTGGTGACGTTGTGATCCACCCTGAGCTTGCTTTGCACTTCCTAACTGGTCTTGTGACCCTCTGTTCTCCCCCACTTTGCCTATGGGGGTGTGTCAAACATATGTGTATATTTGTTATAGTTTGGTTAGGCTTAGTGGGGTACTCACTGTGGGGTACAACCCCTTAGGTTTCTCCTTTGTATCTTTTCCCCTCGATAGTCGACACACAACTTTCCCGTAAGATTATGATAAGACTGTCAGATTTCGAGCAGATGTTGCGATTAGGGTAAAGAATGAGACTTCTGATTGAGTGAGACTTCTGTCCTCGGTAAAGAAAGAGCGCGTTACTACGACCCTGATTTTCAATTCTCGACCCTGAACATTCAGAGTTCACTACTTCTCAACCCTGAGCAATCAGGGTGCTGTTTTTCTGGAAAATGTGCCTTCAGGGTATTTTTTTTTTTTTTTAGGTTGAAATCAGGGTACCTAAATTTGAAAAGTCAGCCCTGCGCCCGCCACCTACCGGTAAGCCTTTCAACGGAACAGCATTATCCAGCACGCACGCACGCATGCACATTCAACGGACCATGGCAGGAGAACGTGGTGTCAAGAGGTGAGTGCCTGCCCGCCATGTACCGGTACACCTTATAAAACAGGAGGAATATGGAAGAACATTATACTACCCCTGCAGTTGTCACTAGGACCTCTAACACCCCAATATCACGCACATGTGATTTTACCCTAGCACAGTGGTGCTGTACATAGAATAGTACCTATCAGTCGGTCGGCTCGGCTGTGTAGTGGATCTTCTGCCCGGAAAATAGAGGCAGCAAATGACATCTTATGCAATCTACACATCGCAATGCCTTGTTGGACTGGTTCAGTGGTAGTCACTGCACCATTCTGGTCGTCAAAAGCATAGAGCCAGACACCGTCCTGGTAGCACGTGCAGGGTTACGGCGATTGAGGATTTAGAGGGGCGAAGGCAGCTGCTTTCACAGAGACTATGTAGGGTTTTTCACGCACGACAGTGCAGTTGAACCTGAAGGACCCCCCCGGTGGGATGACCACCGCACCATCAGGTGCTCCCAGTGGAGGGAGTACCTGCGAGGGATGGGAGGGAGGGGGGAGGAGCGAGTGGGGGGAAATGGATTGGAATAAATGATGGGATGGAAATGGGACGGGAGGGAGGTAAGAGGGACGAGGGAGGGAGGGAGAGGGTACGTGTGTGCGATGGAGAGGGATGGGGGAGAGAGAGAGAGAGAGAGAGAGAGAGAGAGAGAGAGAGAGAGAGAGAGAGGGGAAGAGATCGATCACACCGACACCTGCAAACTCGCCACCCCCTCGCACGCCTCCGCAAGACTCAACAAGCGGCACATGGTCAGCATGGGATCTCTCCCCGCGCGGGTGGGGGGAGGTGCAGTCGAAGCTTCGCGCGGAAACGCCGTCAGCTGGCCAGGGGCACGGCCAAGCGGGAATTGCGGAGCGGAGAAGCCCGGGGCCTGTCGAGGGGTGCGGAACGGCGCCCTCCCCCCTCTCGCGGGCAGAAAATCGCTCAAAGTCAGTGCGCGCATGGGATCCGCCAGGTCAGGAGCCGGGGCGACGGGAGGCCCTTGGGTTACGGCGATATGTACGTGAGCCAGCTCCCCTCCCGCCTGCGCCTGCCGCACCGCCGCTGTCAATACGTTCACTGCCTGTTCGACAGCGGAGTCCTGACCGTGGCTGTTACCGCCGCGCCCGGGGCCATTCCGCCGACCGCGACGACCCCCATATCCAGCCGACTGCGGATGTGGCGGGGACGGCTCGCGGCGAGCAGAATCCCAGCGGTGCCCAGGAGATCCCCTCCCCCGCCTCGCCGGAGATCGCCGTAGAGAGCGTCGCGCGGGGGATCGCGCTCGCGACGAACGCCTATTTTGACCCCCGTGCCCATCTGGATGATGCTGAGGAGAGTGGTGCTGGGGGGAGCGATGGCGCGCGGGAGATCGCTGGGCGCCCGCTCCGTTACGAGGAGGATCGCGCCGCTCAGGAGAACGGCGACGAGGAGATCGCTGCAGCGGAGGCTGACGCTGCGGGGAACGTCCGCGCCCCTGATCCGGCTGGCCAGCGAGGCGGTTTGACGCGACCCGAGCAGGGGCCCACGAGTACTCCGGCGAGGTGGGCCACGGGACCCCCCGAAGAGGAAGGGAGAGGCCGCGCTCAAAGCGGCGAAAGGGCTCACTCGCGGAGGGGCGCGCGGGGAGACGTGAACGAGGACCGGCAGGCTCCTGCTCCTGCTGTGCGCTCTCCGCTGTACCCTCCAGTGCAGGATCGTGACCCGCGGTCGGATCCATTACGCCCGATACTACTGCCGCCGACGCCAGCGCTCCGTCAAAGAGCGAGCGATGTCGCCGCCGATCCTCCAACAAGGCGCGCGGGGGCCGCAAGAGGAAGAGAAACGCGGGGAATTCGTGTGGGACGAGGCAGCAATCGCCGCGGACGTGGGCGCGGCGCCACGACTCAGAGAAGAGGCGCAAGTAGCTTCGCTAGAGCAGCACAGCGGGCCCTGCGGCAGAGAGCTAGGGAGGGAGGGGAGACACTTGGTGACGATTCTGGGAATGGCTCAGCGGGTGAACCCTCCTTTATCCTCGAAAGGGAGGGGAGTTCGAGTCCCTCGACAGAGGAAGAAGAGGTTGAACCAGCCCAAGGAGTGGGTGAAATTCCAACTGGGGGCCGAACCGCATCTGCAATTCAAACCCCTCGAAATCGGGCCGCGAGGGGAAACCGAGCCGCCACCAACGCTGGGGTTACCACTACCCCCGACACCCATGCACCAATCGTCAGCGCTGACGACCTGGCTGGCCGCCAGGACCTCTTCGCTGACATCGCCAACTGGGACCTCTGCCCCCTGCGCGATAGCAGACTGCCACCCCTCACCCGCCACCCACCCCGCCCACTTCGCGAATCCTTCGCAATCTGCCTCCTGACCCCAATACTCCATCTGGCGAAAAATCCTGACTCGTCACCTGGTTGGAAGCTGCTGATGTTTCTCCCGCGTATCCTGCTGCGCTCCTCGTCAGCCCGCAAACCTGACTGAAAGGCCATGGGCGACAGACTGACGAGATTTCGCCAAGGCCTTTGGCGTGACCTATATAACGAGGCAGCGGATGCAGTCACCAACAACCCCCAAACACGCCACGTACCTGACACCACGGGCAAGCTGGCGAGGGCCGAGGGGCTGGCCAAAAGAGGAAACCTGGCGAAATCCCTCCAGTCCCTCACTGTCACGCCCGTCTGCACGCCGAGCGCTGAAGTCCTCAGTGCACTCACGGTCAGACATCCAGAGGCCTCCCTTGCCATACCGGATTGGGTGCACGACTTCGCCTCTTAGACCGTACCCTCAATCACAGCCTGTGACTTCAGGCATTTGCTCGCTAGATGCCCAAACGGTGTAGGTGCCGGGCCCTCAGGAACCACCTTCGAGCACCTGAGAGATGCGGCACTCGGGAACGCCGGCGTCTTAGTACAGCTACACGCACTCACCAACACGGCGCTTGCGGGAAAACTGAGCGCAGAGGCGGCAGACCTCCTCACAGCGTCGCGACTGCTCGCTTTCTCGAAACCATAGGGCGGAACGAGACCAATAGCTATGGGTGAATGTCTGCTACGCCTCATCGCCAAGGCGGCTCTTTTCTTAGCCGCCCCCGCGGCACACGAGCACTTCACCCCGCTCCAATTTGGAGTAGCGATCGCCGGAGGCATCGAAGCAGCGATACACACCGCGCGCACCTACCTGGAGGAGTTCCCAGGAGCGACAGCTCTGCAGATCGACCTGGTAAACGCCTTCAACGCAGTCGAGCGCGCGGCAGTGTTCAAGGGACTGAAAGGCACGGCCCTCGACTCCCTCGTGCCTCTCGTCCGCCTCTCATACGGCCGCCTTTCTGCACTCTACCTCGACCACGACTTTGGAGCAGAGCCACTTCAGAGCGCTCGAGGCGTGCGCCAGGGCGATCCCCTAGGACCCATGCTATTCGCAACCAGCATCCACCCATGCCTCGTCGCCACGGCAGCGGCCCATCCGGAGGTGGTGCTTCTCGCGTACGTGGATGACATCACCGTGTTAGGCGAGGCGGCGAACTGCACGGCGGCCTTCACTCACCTCACCGAGGCCCTCCTCACCCACGGCTTGGCCCACAACCCGGCGAAGTGCGAAGCTTGGTCCGCCGTGGCCTTGGACCCCTCCACCTTACCCCCAGGCATCAATATCTCCCTGGACGGGGTCCGCGTCTTAGGCAGCCCCATTGGGCCACCCTCAGGCTGTGCTGCTCGAGTGCGCGAACGACTTTCTGCAGCAGCCGAGCCGCTTCCGCTCCTCTCACAGATGGACCCCCAGCTATGCCTGCTACTGCTCACCCGCTGCGTGAGTCGTCGTGCCTCGTTCCTAGTCAGAGCCACACCGCTTGAGGCCCTGCCTCTAGGGGAATGGTCCGCCTGGGGGGAAGAGCTGCTCCACACCTACCTGGCTGCCGCACACACAACGATCCCCAGGGACCGGGCAGAGAGGGACAGAATCTGGCAGTAGGCCGCCCTGCCCGCGTCTCTAGGAGGCCTCGGCATCACAAACCCTGCAGTGGAGGGGGGATTTGCTTACCTGGCCTCAGTCGTTTCGGTCGCTCACCTGCTGCGCTCTTTCAGCGACTCAGCAAACCAGGCTCTCACCGGACTCCTGCCGCTGATGGATGCCGACGAGGACTCCACCTCCCTCCTCCCGAGACGCTTAGCTGCCTTGGAAGCCGAGCTGCCGCCTGACGGGACCGAGGCTCTCCAAGTGGGGAGGCAAAAGCCTAATGGGCCCAAGCTCCAACTGGCACTCTCCCCCTCGCGGTACACACAGCCCGGTACATTAGGCTACTGGATAGCTCGCGGGACATGGAGCTGAACCCGCTGTCTGGCCATACGCAGAGGCTGCAGTCCCTCCTAGGCCCGGGGGCGGGGGATTGGTTGCACGCAGTCCCCTTAATCCCTTCCCTCCGCCTCGGGCCCTCTCAGTTTTCCACGGCGGCCTCCTTCCGCTTGGGCTTGCCCTTACCTGTGCCAAGACGCTGCAACTGCAGATACCGTACCACCTTCCCTGACGACCGCTTGCCGAACCACCTGATGCGGTGTGAGAAAGGGGGGGGGAGAATTGCCACTCACCATGCACTGCGGGACGAGTGCGTGAAGATAGCAGCTGAAGCAGGCTTCACAGTGCACAAGGAGACGACGGCATACTCACCGGTCGAAAACCTCAAAGCGGATATCTCTATCCGCCATCCCGACACCGGTGAGGTGTGGATTTGTGACATCACAGTCACGGACCCCGTCTCCCACCAGGATGAGCTGGCCTGTAAGGCACCCGGCTGGGCAGCAAGGATGCAAGCGGACAAAAAAGGGAGCAAATACGCCGGGCGAAGCGCGTGGGTGGGCTTTTATGCTATGGCGGTAGAGACGTACGGCTACCCCTCACCTGGAGTCCTCGATTTCTTCCGCAGCTGCGCGGAGCTAGCGGGCAAGCGGCGGTTCAACGCCGCTCCGAAGTCGAGGGAGGTCGCTAAGCTCCTTACCGAATACCGGCAGCGATGGAGCGTGACCCTGCAGAGAGCCCAAGCCAACGCCCTCAGGGATAAGACCCATGAGGCCCTTACGGCGGATGTGCTCGGCCTGCAGGGCCCGTTTACTCCACTGAGCGAGGGCCAGCTGTACCAACTGATTGAAGACCCCTCCGGCTACTAGGGCCGGAAGGAGAAGGGGCGGTTCTTAGTGGTGCTAGGCTAGTAGAGTGTTGCTGTAGCTTGGCTGTGTGTAGATGTGGCCTTACCTTGTGTGTACCTTGGTGATATTAATACGATGGACCGTTCGAGAGAGAGAGAGAGAGAGAGAGAGAGAGAGAGAGAGAGAGAGAGAGAGAGAGAGAGAGAGAGAGAGAGAGAGAGAGAGAGAGAGAGAGGCATTTACTCATCAAATGCCATATGTGTGTGACCGGACGCAGAGCGCATCGTACGAAGCACAATTATACGATGCCATTTTGCGTGCGAGGCACAGAGGCCTCTCACCCTGATATTACAAACATCCATCCTGAACCCCGATCCACTCAACAGGCAGGGCAAGCAACGGTGGTTGAGGCGCGTCAACAACACTCACCTTGAAAGTGTGAACATCCATCTTGGAGTCCCAGTGAGCGAGCAGGAGGCGAGGCATGAGGAGGTAGAAAATCGTTTCGCCAGCAATGGTGATGCTCAGCTGTGCAATGGCCCGTTGCTCACACTTGTTGGTCAGAGTGACCTGCACAGGGAAGAGGGAGTGCGGGAGATGAGAGGAGGAAAGAAGAGAGGAGGAAAGAAGAGAGGAGGAAAGAAGAGAGGAGGAAAAGTGAGAGGAGGAGAAGATAGAGAGCTATCTGAAAATGGACGAGGAAAGCGGAGGAGGGAATGGAGTGTGGGAAGACCTCAAAGGGGTGCAGAGAGCTGGGAGGAGGTGGCAGGAAAGGCGTTCTATAATAACCACAATTATGTAGTGTTAGTAATAGTAATAGTAGCAATAACATTAGTAATAGCAAGATTAATAACATTAAAATTAGTTGTTACTATTATTCCCAAAAATCCCTTGCTACAAGAAGGGGTGGGAGGAATGACCTCGAAGGGGCGCACAGGGAGGGGGGAGGAGGCGGGGAAGAGATAGTCGTGGATGTGTGTCCCCAACGCCACTGCTGCCATGGCACTGCCGTCCCTGCACTCTGCAACGTGGGCGAGAGGGGCACGGGGACAGGGGGGAATGCGGGGATTGGGGCATCTGGGGACGGGCGCACATGTGGATGGGCGCACATGTGGATGGGCGGACATGTGGATGGGCGCACATGTGGATGGGCGGACGTGGAAATGGGCGGACGTGGGGATGGGGGGACATGGGTGGTTTTGACATGGGGATGGGGGGACATGGGTGGTTTTGACATGGGGATGGGGGGACATGGGTGGTTTTGACATGGGGATGGGGGGACATGGGTGGTTTTGACATGGGGATGGGGGGACATGGGTGGTTTTGACATGGGGATGGGGGGACATGGGTGGTTTTGACATGGGGATGGGGGGACATGGGTGGTTTTGACATGGGGATGGGGGGACATGGGTGGTTTTGACATGGGGATGGGGGGACATGGGTGGTTTTGACATGGGGATGGGGGGACATGGGTGGTTTTGACATGGGGATGGGGGGACATGGGTGGTTTTGACATGGGGATGGGGGGACATGGGTGGTTTTGACATGGGGATGGGGGGACATGGGTGGTTTTGACATGGGGATGGGGGGACATGGGTGGTTTTGACATGGGGATGGGGGGACATGGGTGGTTTTGACATGGGGATGGGGGGACATGGGTGGTTTTGACATGGGGATGGGGGGACATGGGTGGTTTTGACATGGGGATGGGGGGACATGGGTGGTTTTGACATGGGGATGGGGGGACATGGAATGGGCGGACGTGGGGATGTAGAGATATGGAAAAAACAGTTGCAGGGGGATGTGGGTGAGGTGGATAATGGGATTATGGGGAAATGTGGGGGTGGTGAAATCTCAGCCTAATAGAGGGAAGAAGGAAGAGGAGAGAGAAGAATGGGAAGAGGAGCACAGCAAGCATGTGTGCCTGGATGAGAAAACGTGAGGGCAGAGGGAAGAGGAAAGAGGGAAGAGGGGAGAGGAGAGAGGGGAGAAGGGAGAGGGGAGAGTCCAAGTGGGAGGTAGAGGCAGCGCGAGAGTAGGTCACCTGGCGGGAGGTTATTGGCTTGCTGCAGCTGCCGCCCGACCCCATCAGAGGGGAGTGGCGGTGCTGCTACCACCAAAGGTGCGTCGTGAGTCACCGCACTCCAAGCCACGGCCCCATCAGAGGGGTATGACAGGTGAGAGAGGTGCGAGAGGCGCGAGGAGTGGGAGAGGCGAGGGGGGTGCGAGAGGTGATAGGGATGAGCGGGGTATGAGAGACTGGTACTGTTGGTGGCTATTACTGGTGGTGCTTCCACACTGTCACTGCTTCTCCACGTCTCCCCTCTCTCCCCATTGCCCGCTCGTAACGTGCGTCTCACCACCTGTTGCCTCAACCCCACCCGCGCGTCTTTCCCCACCGACTCTTCCCCAGCATTCCCCCCCTCTCGCTCCCCACTGCGCTCAAAGCTCCCCTCTCCGCGCACTAACGTCCCCCGACCTGGTTCTGTTCCCCCCGAAGTTGCTTTTCCCGCCGCACCCGCCAGTATCAGCACCACCGCTAGGGCGCGCCAGCGCAGGGTGGGGGAAAGCGCGCGCGCGTGCAGCGGGGAGAGCGCGCGAACGCGCACGGTTGAGATGGCGGAAGCCGCCAGCGCGAACATCTGGCGGAAGTGATGCAAAATGAGTGGCGGCACTCGGTGTGACTCGGTGTCATGCGGTGGCAGGGAGGAACCGTGGTGGGTTCAATATCAGCGTCGTCGCGCCTCGCGAGCCGGGTGGCGACGCCGACCGTGCGCCGCAATGTGGGCACGCCGCGCTGCAAGGGTGCGTTTCCTTCTCTCACGCTTAGTGCGAGTTTGAAAGTGGCTGGGAGAAAGGAGGATTTCTCCTCAAGTTTCAAAGCTCAGAGCGAGTACGAGCGGGAGAAAACGCTAGATGCGGGGATGCGGGAAGCGCCAATGCGGCAGTGCGGCAGTGCGGCAGTGTGGCAGTGCGGCAATGCAGCGATTATGTGGAAGAACGGGAGGAGGGCAGGAGGCATCAGAGGCGCGAATCTACTACACTAACCTACCCTGAGCCTCACGACCAAACACGGCTCGGGACGACTCAGGGCTAAGGCTGCAGACTCTTCGGGGTATGGCCCACGACGACGCCACCATGGCCCGTTTGACATCCCTTCAGGGCCCGGGGGCAGGGGCGTGGGTCTCCGCCGTCCCTTCGCACGAAGAGGCTACCTTCACCGCAGCCGAGTGGAGCATCTGTGCGTACATGCGCCTAGGCCTCCCCATACAGCAGCTGATAGTCGCCGGCAAGTGCGCGTGTGGGTTTGAGTTTGCTGATCCCTCTGACCCGCATCATGCCCTTCGCTGCAAGTACCAGTACGCACCTTCTCGTGTTCACGACGCGGTTAAGTTTGTGGTGGCGAAGATAGCTAAAGGGGCGGGTGGGGTCGTGACCATGGAAGACGACACGTTGCTGCCAGGGAAGAGGGTGGATGTGGCGGTGCGGAGACTGAGGGAGGGGGAGGAGCATGCGCTGGAGGTTAGTGTGGTGGACCCTATCTCGTTGTCCGCGCAGCACCATGGACAGATTGGTCGCAAGGTGGGTTTTGCCGCTAGAGAGAGGGAAAAGCGGAAGGCGGCGGACTACAAATTGCTTCTGCAGCGACATAGGGGAGTGCAGTTTACACCTCTCATTGCTGAGACATGGGGTTGCCTGGGGGGGAGTTTTGGGCGGTGGCTTAAGAAACAGGGCGACGCGCAGATTGAGGTAGCGAAGACGAAAGGGGCGGCGAGAGCTACGGGGAAAGGTTTCTCGGCTTACTTGCTTGGATCACTTAAAGCGGCCATAGGTGTGGCTTTGCAGCGGGCTCAGGCGCGTGTGATCTTGTTGCGCGCGGCGTCGATGATGAGAGGCCCAGAGGCTGTTTCGGTGGAGCGGGAGGATTTTGAGGAGGAGATGGGATGGGATGCTCCGTGGGCGGATGCGCCCTATTTGGTGGACATGCGGGTTTAGAGGGTGGGTTTAGGTGAGGGGGGTGGGGGGTTTGGTTAGATGGGGCGTATTGTTGGGGTGTCTCGTTGGGGTGTCTCGTTGGGGTGTCTCGTTGGGGGTATCTCGTTGGGGTGTCTTTTGGGGTTCCTTATGTGCTGTTCTACTGGGGTGTTCTTGAGGCTGCGTTTTCCAAAAAAAACAAAAAAAAACACACCACCTTTTCCTTGAAAAAAAAAACTAATGATCTAACGTGTGTAGCGAAGAGATTATGGAAAATATGAGAATGATAAGGGTACATTCCTGTCTTACATTTGTGTCACGATCCCAAGGTACCGCTCCGTACCGAATCTAACCCAAGTTCGAAAATTTTTAGGGTATGACATGATATGGGCGCCCATATGAGCTGACGATATGATATTTGTAGCTGCGCTTCAAAACAGAGTCACGAATCAATAATACGGATTACAGTAAGTGGAAATGCTTTGGCGATTCTCCACATGTTACATCTCAGTACCATCTTACAGTACAATTGCTAGTTTAGATCATGCCAACCACTGGAAGTTGTGAGTGCTGTGCAAGGTATTCGATTCCAGAGGCGGTTGGTCTGGTACCAGAAAAAAAATAAGGTTAGCGTGTGCTTCATGGTCAAGCAGCAATACACTCAGAGATACCGAAACTGAAACATAAGCACACGGCCAGGAGTTCTGCATGTGAACGAGACACCATGAAAACATGAATAGTCAAGCTACACTCGGAGTGCAGTGCAAACTAACTACAGCTACAAGGGAGAAAATGAGGCGTCGTGAACAGTGAGCGCATAGATGACGTCGAGCACGACAGTGCAGTTGAACTTGAGGGACCCCCCCGGTGGGATGACCACCGCACTGTCAGGTGCTCCCAGTGGAGGTAGTACCTGCGAGGGGTGGAGTTAGGAATGAAAGTGGAAATGGAGGATTGGATGGACATCGAGGGGAGGCAGAGCTAGGAAGAGGGAGAGAAAGAAGGGAGAGGGGACGAGGAAGGAATGGCAGCCACAACAGTGGGAGGAACATGACTCTTCCTTGAATGAACCTTCAAGACAAGGAGTAAAGAAAGAAGCAAGAGAGGGAGAGCAGGAGCGAATCAAAGAGGAAGAGAATGAGTGAAGGAGAGTAAGAGTGCATCCGAGAGGAAAAGAATGAGTGAGGGAGAGCAGGAGTGAGGGAGGTGGACCTTGAAGTTTGTGACGACACTGAGGGAGTCAGGCTCTGTGACCACGAGGCGTGGCAGGAGGATGTAGGAGCGCAGGCGCAGCCCTGTCAAGCTGATGCCCATGGCGGCGATGGCACGCTGCCCACACGTGTTGGTCAGAGTCACCTGTGCAGGGAAGGTTGGGGGCAGGGGACGGGGAGAGGGAGGGGATAGGAGGAAAGGGGGGGGAAGAGGGGGAGGGGATGGGATAGAGGAATGGATTGTAGAGAGGTATGGGGGTGAGAAGTAGAGGATGAGAAAGCATGTGAGGTGATCAGATGGGGGTTTGCATATGAGCGAAAGAGAAGGGATGGAAGAGAAAAGAGGACGTGTTTCTGAGTGGCCACGCTAAACCATCGAGTAGGGAGTGAGTGATTATAGAACGAGCTTACAGTTTTGTTTTATTCCGCCCTATATTCTAAATTTAATTCCTGGTGTGTTTGCGGTGAGACCTTATAAGGGAAGAAGAGAAGCATGGATATGGTGTGGGGAAACAGAGGGCAGGAAAGACCTCGTAAGGGTACAGGGAGAGCTGGGATGAGGAGGTTGGGAAGCGATAGTCATGGCGCACTGACTTCGCCGTCACTGCTTCATTTGCACTGCCGTCCCTGCACTCTGCTCAAAGGGGGGAGGGGGATGGGGGTGTGGAGGAAGAGAGAGGGAGTGGAGCAGCGAGCACGAGGATTATGAAGAGGAAGAGAAGGCCGGAGAGGGACGGTAGGGAGGAAGGAGAACAAGAGGAGAAAGGTCTGGAGCAAAGCGGGATGCGAGGTACTGAGGGACGTTAGGAAGGAAGATAGTGTTTGCAAGAGAACATGGTAGGGTGTCGAGGGAGGTCGGAATACGGGAGAGGGAGGATGGATAAGGGTGGAGGGAGGAGGGAAGAAGGAACGGGGATGAAACGATAAGGAGGATGTGAGGCAGGGCGACGCGTCACCTGGTGGGAGGCTATTGGCTTGCTGCCACGGGCGTCCCAGAGAGGGAGATGGTAGCGTTGACGGCAGTGGGGTTGACGGTGATGCTGCCTCAACCGCACTACCCGATGCCAGCGCCCGATGTATGGCATGATCAGGACCGCCGGTGCTGCCGATCGCTGCTGCTGCTGCTGTTGCTGCTGCCTCGCGTGTGTTGTCTTCATCGTTGCCAGCAGAAATATTGCCAGCAGAAGCATCGTCAGCAGCAGCGGCAGCAGCAGCAGCAGCATCGTTGGCAGCAGCAGCAGCAGCAGCATACGAGGAAGATGAGCCGAACAGGAAAGTGACTCCATCGTTGTCAGCAACAGCACCCTCTGTCCCGGCGCTGCTATTCTTCCACCCTTCCACACCGTCATCATCACTTCTCTGCTGCTCCCTTCTCTCCCCTTCTCCTTTCTCTTCCCCTTTCTGCTCCGCTCGCAACGTCCGACGCACCACCTGCTGCCTCAACCCCACCTGTACCTCTCCAGCATACTCCCCTCCTTGGGGCATAACTCCCGCTCCTCCGCGCACCCAGACCCCCCAAATCCCCACCCCCGCCGTCCCCGCCAGCATCAGCGCCATCGCGAGAGCGCGCCAGTACATGGTCACGGGGGAGAGCTGTGCGCCCATGGTTGCAGGGGGGACGCGGGTCCGCGGTAAGGCGCGGCTGGGATGGAGGAGGTCCGCGTAATGTAACTACCACTATTACTAGCACCAGATGTCACAGGTGCTTTGAGAATAGTAGCGCTGGTTGTAGCCCTACTAGTAGTGTTGATTGTAGTGGTGCTGGCATATGGCAGGCATAACTGCGCCCGAAGGTGGATCCAGTTCGGCCCTGCTTGCTCTTTGCGCACTGGCCGGGCACAGGCTGACTGGCTGGCTGGCTCTCTCGCTCGCTCAATACACGGTGGCTCAGTGGGTAGAGGAACGAGCAACGCTTGCTACTGCGGCTGCCGTCTTTCCTGGCGAGAACAACGCGCCCGTGCCGGCGTTTTGCAGCAGACGGGGAACAGCGGCCGGGAGGAGAGGTCGAAATGGGAGAGACTCTCTCGGGCGGGCCAAAAGCGAAACCCGTGACTCCCTCGGAGGCAGAAACTTGAGAATTAAGAGAATTCGGATACTTCCGGTCGTTCTGTGAGAGATATATGCAGATTGGACCCCTTCCACTCTTACGGAATCGCCTCTGATTATTGCGCGAGGCATGTGGACCGGCGAGGGCACAAGACGGGATCATGATGCAACCGCCTCGGAGGCGGCGGGGGATGACGCGGGATGACGCGCGCAGAGAGGTGGGCGGATCCGCGCGGAAATTTATAGGGTTCCAACCCCTCATATCCAAACGCAGGGATCCATGGAACGCGGAGGCACGCGGAGAAGGCAGGCAACGGGAATGCTCGGACGAGCGGAAGTCGATGAGGTGAGTGGGGCTCTGGTGCAAAGGTCCCAGGGGAGCTGTGAGATCAGACGATTCTGCTCGTCGTCGTCGTCTCCTGGCGTGTGCCTGCGGAGATTCCGAGGCACCGGAGCAAACAACAAGCTGCGAAGCGGCGCGGTTACATGCGAGGTTCACGGTGGCTGGATGCAATTGCTGGCTAGTAAGTGCCTTCGCAGTGGACCTGCAGTGCAGTTGTAGTAGCATAAAGTAATGCGGTTGATGACCGCATTTGGCGGCTGGGGAAAATATGTTGCGAGTGATGAGGGCGGTTGAAGTACGGAAGTTGGGAGATGAAACGGCGGGAGGGGAAACGGCACAAATGTCTACAGTTGTACATATAATGGAGGCTTATAACGGTTTAGCACCTTAAAACTCCCTCCCATCTTTTCCCAGAACAACATACATACATCATTTGTACATAAATGCAAAGAAAAGGTGCCACATGAAAAATAATCTAGAGAACTAACCAATCAGTCCATGGGTAAATTTTGTTATGACTAATATTAAAACCATCATCAAATGTCTTTCTTTAAAGTATAAATGCTCATTCGTAGAGTAGTAACATGGAAGGACTTAGGTTTAGGAACTAGGACGAGAAGGAATTACGAGAACTAGAGGGGTTTCAATAATGACAAGGGTTACAAGTTATAGAAGAAAGGAATGTGGCAAGGGGGGTACACCACCAACATATAGAAAACTAACATGATATAGTCAAAACATGATATGCTTTCGATATTACACCACCACCCTGCCCTGCCGCAATCGCGCTGCCTGCTGCCTAGCGCATTGCCCGCCCGCGAGCGCTCTGCCTGCCCGCAAGCGCCACTGCGCCCCTGCCCGCGAGCGCCACTGCGCCCCTGCCCGCTCGCGCTGCCCGTCAGCAACCTGCGCCCGGCCTGCGCCCTGCCCGCGCGCACCCCACCCGCACTCACGCGCACCCTGCCTGCGCCCTGCCCGCCCGCGCTGATGCGCGCTGCTGCTGCTGCTGTCACTTACGCAGCTGCTACTGCTGCATGCGCTGCTGCTGTCACTTACGCAGCTGCTACTGCTGCATGCGCTGCTGCTGTCACTTACGCAGCTGCTACTGCTGCATGCGCTGCTGCTGCTACTAAGCGCGCTACTGCTACTGCATGCGCTGTTGCTCCTGCTAAGCACTGCTGCTACTGCTGCTGCTACACGCGCTACTCCAGCTGCGCTTTGCCCTGCCGAGCCCCTACCCGCCAGCGCTGAAGCTACTACGCATTGCTGCCAAACGCGTTGCTGCCGCCTGAGCTGCTGCTGCCGCCTGCGCTGCTGCTGCCACCTGCGCTGCTACTACTGCTGAGCTGCTGCTGCTGCTAGGCTGCTGCTGCCGCTTGAGCCGCGCAGCCCTGCCCTGCAGCCAGTGAGTCGCGCTGCCCTGCCCTGCAGCCCGCGCGCTGCGCTGCCCTGCCCTTAGGCCCGCGCACCGCCCTGCCCCTAGAGCCGCGCTGCCCTGCCCTGCAGCCCGCGAGCCGCGCTACCACGGTGAGGAGCGACCAGCACTGGCGCAAGGTCAACCGCTGCCTCGCCTACCTCGCCAACACGCGTGACACCGCCCTGGAGTTCGGCGGTGGACTTGAGTCACTGGAGCTAGTCGGCTACGTGGACGCCGACGACGCCGGTGACAAGCAGAACAGGACGAGCACGGGCGGCTACATGTTCGTCTACGGAGGGGCCGCAGTCTCCTGGTCGAGCCAGCGCATCAAGTGCGCGACGTTGTCGTCGACCGAGTCGGAGTACGTGGCAGCCACTGAAGCCGGCAAGGAGGGACGCCGACTTCGCTTCCTCCTCGCAGAGTTCCGGCAGCTAGTTGTCGGGAAGCCGACCGTCCTTCGGGTGGACAACAAGTCAGCCATCACAGTCGTCGAGGGCATGGGGTTGACGGGCAACCTCAAGCACATGGAGCGGCGACAGGCCTGGCTGCAGCACATGGTGAAGCGCGGGAAGTTCTCGCTGAGGTACATCCCGACCACCGAGCAGCCGGCCGACTTCCTGACGAAGGCCCTGCACTAAAAGGCCTTCAACCGGTGCTCCGTCGCCATTGGCCAGGTGCGCTTGGCCGACGTGGGTGACGAAGTTGACGAAGTGCAGCAGTAGGTGCCATGCCCTCTTGCAAGGCTGGTGCGGTGGATGACGTGCTGTGTGTTGGGTCAACGTTGACGAGCTATTCTTCGAGCAGTGCTGCCGTGTGGGCCGGGGGCCCAAGCGTGAACGCGACAGGGGAGTGTCAACGGGAGTTGTGTGTTGGCCCCGTCCTCGCTTGGGCGGAGCCGACTTCGTGGTCGGGTGTGAGGGGAGCGGCTGACCTGCAGCAGTGGGCGAGCTGGTTGACGAGGAGGTCGACTTGCACGGGGACCACTGCACGGGCGCCGACTTCAGGGTGGCGCCGACTTCAGGGAGGTCGACCTGGGTAGTCGACCTGCGGAGGGCGTCAACTTGGTGACGCCAACTTGGGGCAGCCGACTTGGGTGGTCGGCTGACAGGCCTGCTGGTCGACTTGGTGGTAGGTCGACCAGGTGTGATGTCGACCCGGTGGTCGACGTAGGTGGGGCCGACGTCGACCACAACTCGGGACGCCGAGGAGCAGGGCATCGAGTAGTTGGGCGTCAACTTCGTGACGCCGACTTCGGGTAGCCGACTCGGGTGGTCGGTTGACAACTGCGCTGGTCGACATGGAGCTGGTCGACTAGGAGTGCTGGTCGACGTGGAGCTGGTCGACTAGGAGTGACGCCGACCTGGAGCTGGTCGACTAGGGGCGTGGTCGACCTGGTGAGGACGACTTGAGGTGGTCGTCAACTTGGGAGGTCGACGGGCACATACAGGAGCAGCTGGTCGACGTGGTTGCCCGGTCGACCAGGTTACTTGGGTGACGAGGATCTGCGGAGGAGTGCGACAGTCGCCCAGGCGAAGTTGGCGAGTCCGGCCTCGGTGGTGGTATCCTGAGGTCGACGTGGCTGATCAGATGCAGTCGTCAACGCTAGGTTGACTTAGTGTGTGCGCTGTGCAGGTGACAAGGTTCCGCACGCCAATCATCTGCGAGCACCTGCGAAGCTGGTGCGATGTTGTACTGCGGGAGCTATGATGGCACGGCGTCAACCTGCAGCGCTGGCACGCCGTCGACTCTACACTGCTGGAGCGCAGTCGACCAAGTCGTGCTGGAACGCGGTCGACCATGCTGTGCTGGCAGTCGACCGACCTGAATGCTAGCTCTGATGTAGTCTTGCCATGCCAACTTCATTGTACCATTGTTGTCAACTTTCTCTAGTGAAACTCTTGCCAATTTGCCCCGTGAACCAGCAAGCAGTGTGTGCACTAGAAAAACGATTAAGGACCAACGAACGCAGAGATCACACGAGCACCCGTGCCTAGCCCGTAGTCTAGCTCCCATTGTAGTTGTTCTCTCCGCACCTAGCCCCGAGTCGGCCTACGCTTCGGGGCTAGCTCAAACCTTGTTGCCAGCATCGTGTTATCTAGCTCGCACATACCGCGTTATCGTTTGCATGCTTTGCGTATAAGTATTCGCTCATGCCTTCGCTCATACTTTGTACTTGTTTGCCAACTTAGTGCAATCCTCGCTACCTCAATACATTGCACACATAACAGCTACCCTCAACCAACGGAATTTTTGCACTTAAGGGTTATTCGTAACCACAATGTTGTGCGAAACTATTTTTTTCCGAGGATTTACACTGTACTATTTTCAGTTGCGATGTGTAAATGTATTACATTTATATCCATCCAAACAACGACAAAATAACGTTCTTTCGCACTTGTTTACAAAATTCTCAATAAGGCCCCCTTTAATGTTACTCAAATGGTCAGGTTGAGACTCTTTCTATCATACTACATCCAAATGATACTACCAATCAGGCAAATGTGTATACAAAATATGATAACCTATTATGCTAGCTCAAAGATGGTGCTTTCTTGATGCATGTGTAAACGGGGGCGTCATCAATAGGCCCTCGCAGTGTTGGCACTTGAGGCCAGGTCTACTACTGGCTATGCTGCTACAGCTCACGCATCAGGAAAGTACCACAACCGGAAAGCTTTGCTCTGCCCTCTATTCGAGGCTCCAGACACAGGAAGATCATGGTCGTGTTATCAGCGAAGAACTAGGGAAGATCTAGGCAGCTCATATAAGTATGTCAGCAAGAACGCGAGCAAGTTGTTGAGCAGCCATAGCGCAGTGTAGATCTCTGCCTCACAGCTGGATTGTGCCATTGACAATTACCACGAGACTGCTCATGCGCCAAGGCTGAAGCAGTAGCTTTGAGAAGACATGACCGTCTCGATGTCGTCTGCAGACGACGCATCAATGTGTCCCGTAAGTGCAACTGGCTGTCGCCCTCCAACCACAAGCCCCATGCTTGATGTACTAGCCAGACAATGCAATACCCTCTTGGCATTTGACAAATGCTCACGTCCTTGTCACCTAGTCGCAACAAAACGAGCAAGGATGCTGAGAAGATGCGCCACATTGAGGCGAATGCAGATCATAGGGTACATGAGGAACCCCTATAGCTCTTCGTACAGTTCCTAATAATCTGCAGGCCAAGATAGCGATGCAGCTCACCTAGGTCAGTGCAAGCGTGTCTTCTTAGCAGCTCGGCCTTTACCGAGGCCAGTGTGACTTTGCCTAGAGTAGCAAAGACAAGGTCAACGTAGACCAGAATGTAGAACGGCGTAGAGCCAGTGTGAACGAAGAGAGACAAGTCAGCTGAGGACGGGAAGTGAGCCACAGTAGTGCGAAGTGTGTCGTGCCACTAACAAGGAGCCTGGTGTAGGAAGTAGATGGACAGTCGAAGGCTTCTTTGGGTCTCGGGTAGAAAGGACCCAATAACGCTAAGCGGGTGATGGAGGAAGATCTGCTCGTGCAAACTGCCGTGTAGAAAGGCTATGGAGAAGATAAGAGAGTGAAACTTCTAGTCGTGCTACGTTGCGATGTGCACCAATATCCAAAGAGTAGACATCTTCGGGGCGGGCAAGAATAAAAAAGTCTACCTTCTCTCGCTGACTAAAGCCTCTAGCTGTGTAGCGCGCCTTGAAGTCAGGCGGCTCTCCAGGTGGAAGCTTCACCTTGAAGATCCACATGCCATCGACTACATTCGGCCCTGGAGGGGAAACTGCGTCGACGTAAGTGCATGATGACCTCCAATATGCCATCTTTTCTTCCATGGCTGCTGTCCACAGAGAGGCCCAGGGTTCCCAGACTTCCCCAGCATAGGTGCGAGGGGTCGGGATATCTAGAGCGTCTAGGTCACCCTCAGGGGCTAGCAGCATGGCACAGAGATGAGGAGCAGCGGCCGCAAGGAAAGCCATCTCGTACTGCCTGTCCTCTTGAACTTCTGTGCCAAGGGTAGGAGCACCCTTGACAGACAGAGGACGGGCGGGAACATAGACCAACTGAGTGGCGTAGTCAAGGCAGTGGATGGAGGCAAAGTCAGCAACAGCAAAGACAAGAGTAGAGACGGACGGAGGAGGAGTAGTGGGGCCGGTAACGAGGGAGGAAAGGTCACGATTGATTATAGGGCGAGCGATATGGAGAAAATCAGAGGACAGAAGAGAGGAGATAGTAAGGGACAACGAAGGAGGCAACGGGAGAATAGAGGTTGGTGGAACACGAGAGGGACGAGAACAGAGGAGCGTAGAACTGATATAGGGTAGGGGAAACACAGTGGCAAGCACGAGAGGGACAACGGACCCAGTGGTGAGAGGGAGGAGTTGGGTCAGGATACAGAGGAGGAAACAACTGTGAACATGGAGGAAGACGGGCTAGAGGGGAGGAAACATGGGACCATAGACTGGGAGAGGCGTTGAGGGGGGAACAGGTGGTCGGTCAAGCGAGGGGTAGAAAGCCCTAGAAGGTGAAGTGGAGACACAGGCGGCGACGACAACGGCTGCGGCTGCTGCGGCAACGAATGTGACTGTTGTGGTGACTATGGCACCTACTACCTCATGCGGCAGCATCCCCAAAACTAGGACTTCGAGCACCAGCACCCCCAGAGCTAGCATCCCCAGAACCAGCACGCCCAAGATTCCACATCAACCGGTTGCGGCAACGATGGTAGTTGTTCCGGTGACGAAGGCTGCTGCGGCGGGTGCGAAGATGACGCCGATGACGGCAGAGACTGTGGCAACAGCAGCGACGTAGGTGGGGGATGTGGGGAAGGTGGCGAAGGGGCCAACATAGGAGGCGCACCCATATGCACCCGGCTTCAAGATTCAACAGACTTTCCCATAGGCCCAACCGAAGGAAGGGGGGTGACTTACGACACACCAGACGGGGCAGGACATGGGGGAGGGGGGGAAGCTAGCAGGGGAGTGGGACCAAGGGGGCGGGGAGGAGGAGGGGGGGGAGAGAGTGGGATTGAGAAATAAGGGAGGGGGAGGAGCCGAGGTACCTCGGTGAGGGAAGTGAGTGTAGAGGAGGACTGACTCGTCAAGGGTGATGTTACAAGAATGGAAGAAACGGTGAGAAGAGAGGTGGTAGAACAGCCAACCAGGGGCGTCAAGCGGGAAGCCAAGGAAGACACACATGAGAGTGCAGGCTGAGAGCTTGTACGCGCGAGGGTTACTGAAGTGAGCAAGGCAGCCCTAGGCATGAAACAAAGGCGTAGCACCAGGGGACCCAGTCCAGGGGAGGGTGCACGGCATAGCGCACTACAAAAGGCCACATAGAATGGGGGACACTGGCATGGACCATAATGGTACGAGTGGTCTCCATGACCAAGCCAATGCGATGCTCAGCCATCCCATTCTGCTGCGGCGAGTTTGGGAGCGAGTACGCCTAGGTAATTCCCTCCGCACAACAAAACTGATCAAGGAAACCAGAGGTGAACTCGCCACCACAATTGGAGTGCAGACAAAGCACTAGCTGGGCGCGCTGGGTGCGGACAGCTACTAGCCACGTCAGGAGAACTCCAGGCACGTCCACCTTCCGCTCCAGGGGAAACAATGTGGTGTAGTGGGAGTAGTAACCAGGAAGTAACGCTCCCAGCGCGGCTCAAGGACGGATGCCGCTGCTGCTGCTATGACTGTTGTTGCTTTAGCTGCAGAGCCCCCACCATCTCCTTTGGCAGCAACCCCCAGCACCAGCATTCCCAGCGTCAACACCTCCTGACTAACTAGCGCCTCCACCTCCTCCACGACCACGACCACCCTTGCGCTGTCCCCACTCACTAGAGGGGGCGACGACTGCGACCTCCGTTGTTGCAGTAGGCTCAGCAACATCAGCAGAGGCAATGGAGGTAGGGAGCTAGGGAAGGCACCCCTCAAAGATGGGGGGACTACTGCACCAGTGGTGAAGGCGATGGTGTGGAGGCAGGTGATAGGGGTGCATGGTTAGAAGGGTGTCGCAAGCGGGCGCGAGGCGGTCAGGGAGTTGGATCGCGAGGAGGTGCAAGGTGAGATAAAAAAGGGAGGGGGCTGGTTAGCAATCTGGACAGGAGCGAGAGCAGCGCGAAACCTAGTATCAAATGAGCGCAGGCGGGCAATGAGGTCAGTGACAGTGGAGAACACAGGGAGATTAGAAAAGAGGAAAGGCATGACAAGGTGGCGTATAGTAGCAGATGAGGGGGGTGGAGTAACAAGCAGTAATAGCATGCAAGCACTCCTTCGCCATCACGACCTAGTGAATTGCACCCGCTCGGTCAGCAGCAGCAGAGCGCGACAGGACTTGCGGGTGCACAGCAAGGTGCACGAGCGCGCGCCATGGCACGATAGGCGCACAACAGGGTGCACGATAGGGCTCGGCAGGGCACGCGACAGTAGGGTGCGCATGTGCGTAACAGTAGGGCGCGCGGCAGCAGGGTGCGCATGCGCGTAACAGTAGGGCACGCGGCAGCAGGGTGCACAGGCACATGACAGGAAGACTCATGGCAGCAGGGTACGCAGGCACATGACAGGAGGGCGCGTGGCAGCAGGGTGTGCGGCAGCAGGGAACGCAGTAGGCGCGTAAGCGTGCTGCAACAGGTGCGCGGCAGCAGGCGCACGGCAGTAGGCGAGCGGCTGCAGGGCGTGCTGGCGTGCAGCAGCAGGGCGCTAGAGGGGGCAGGCTGGGTGCTAGGGTGATCTAGGTAGGTAGGTGGTTAGGTGGGGCGGAAGCGTGCAACCTAACCTAAGCGTGATACCACGTCAGAAACATAGAATGGCTAGAGCTGGGCATACAAGAGATTACAAGTAGCAAACCATACCCTCTACAGTACAACCCAACCTAGCCTAACAATGTACACCTACCAATGTACGTTGACAGTGTTGGTTGGAATGAAGTGGGTGTACTCTGTAGATGGTGCCAAATTCATGGCATCCATTGCTGTGTTGAGATCTCCTGGTTAGCAGTTCCGCATTTTCATTGCCAGCAGTGTGAATCTCAATGGAAGGAGATGGTAAGAGTTCGAATTTCCATGGGGCCTAACTCAAGAACCAGGTCACGAGGGTCGATCGGGCCACCTAAAAGTGGTGAATTCACATCATGCTCCTTCCCGCTCGATTCGCTTGATTCGCCGGCTCTCCCCTCTCTCTGCTTGCCATGTCCACCAGCAGCATCTCCCTCCACACGCCACTCCATTGGTGGACGCATCTCGGACCGTTTCTGGCTTGCGAAAATATTTAGCTCGGTGACTTCCTTGATCTGCGCAGACAGATTTGATTTGGCACGCATACGTGCCAGAAAAGTATGAGTGGGAGAGTAACGTGGGAACAGCTGGACATAGCAGTTTGATGATCACAAGAGTAATCAGCAGTGGCGCACCTTTCGTGAGGCGAAGAGCAAAGGGAGATGAACAGAGGCTAGGCTGGACAGCTGGGGATGCTCTTTGGCCTGGGAGGGGTAATGTAGAGAGGCAGGGTAAGGGGAGTGGTAGGTGTGGTGAACAGCAGGTATGGTAAGTCGCAGGTGTGGAGAATGGCAGGTACCAGAAAGTGCAAGGTTCGGTGAGAGGTATTGGAATTAATAATTTCAGGGTTTGGGCGATGAAACACAAGACAGTGAGGTGACATGCATGGGCTCTGTGGCTGGGAGTGGGGACGGGGTTTAGCAGCATCGTGGAATGAGGAGCATCACGGAATGAGCAGCATCACGGAATGAGCAGCATCACGGAATGAGCAGCATCACGGAATGAGCAGCATCACGGAATGAGGAGCATCACGGAATGAGGAGCATCACGGAATGAGGAGCATCACGGAATGTGCAGCATCACGGAATGAGCAGCATCACGGAATGAGCAGCATCACGGAATGAAGAGCATCACGGAATGAGGAGCATCACGGAATGAGAAGCATCACGGAATGAGAAGCGTCCGCAAGTGCGAAAGGTGGGGGCACTGGTGTATCTTGTAAGCCAGCGCATAAGCACACCTCAAGCACACAGGGCACGCGTCACAGCCTAAGCACACAGGCAGGGCACGCGTCACAGCCTAAAGAACACTGGCAGGGCACGGATCAAAGCCGCCACAGGCGTACCTCGTACAGATGTGCAAATCGGACTGTCACCTCATTGGGTGCTAGCTCCTGTGGTGACATGTGAGGCGAGAAAAAATAGTTTTCAGTCGAGAGGGGATAGAGGCTGGGTGGGTGAGAGGGGGAGAGAACACCACCAGGTAGCTCCACACACAAACCCGCTGATCTGCCTGAACACGACCGGGTGGGTGAGAGGGTGATATAGAATAGGTTGCACGCTGATCTGTCCAGAACACAAAACCGCTGTTCAGATGAGCCCTCGTACAGTGCACAGCAACTCGAAAAGGATTTGATTGCATGATGAAAACGGAGGACGAAATGGAAGATGAAGCAGATGGCAAACCAAAGCCACACTGCTTCAGGGGCGTTTCAGAAGGCAGTAGCGAGCAGAAGGCACATTGGTGAGGCTGAGTGGTATGTGTGCTTCCACCAGCAGCACCTACCTGAGTGGTATGTGTGCTTCCAACACCAGCACCCACCTGTAGCGAGACAATTGCAACGTTTGGAGGGAGGTGGTAGGGCGATGGTGTGTTGCCCTGGTTGCGCCCTTGTTTGACCTCTTGGCCGTCACCTTGAGGCATGTGCGAGAGGGAGTACGTCCATCTCATGCCCTGCGCTGCCTTCAGTGCCTTTGTTTCCTGCCATGTGTCATGTGCCATGCACCATGTGCCATGCGCCATGCGCCATGTGCCATGTGTCATATGCCATGTGCAATGTGCCATGCGCCAGGCGCCATGTGCCATGTGCCGTGCGTCATGTGCCGTGTGTCATGCGCCATGAGAGGAGCAAGCACCACAAATCCACCGAAAGGAATAAAAAACAAGCATGACAGAGAGACAAATGCCTTTACTTTTCACCTCCCTTTACCCCTCTTCACCTCCGTTCACTTCTCTTCACTTACTCTTCACCTCACTTCACTTCTTCTCACCTCTCACCTCACGTGCAAACGCCAGTTGCAGTGGTGACACCATTCTCTCTGCGTGCTCCTTCCTCCACCTGGCCGCCTCGCCCCTCACACCCCCCTTCCCCCCACCCTCCCTCACTCCACCCCTTGCCGCTTCGCCCCTCTCCTTCTCCTCCCTCCCCCTTTTACGTTTCCCTTTGCCGCCCAGCCTTTCGTGCCTCTTGTCTTTGCTGCCCAGCTTTCGCCGGCCGGACGGCGGTTGAATTTCTTCGGAGTCCGCAGCAGCACCTGCTGCACCGCCACGATTTCCTGAGGCCCACTCCCTGTCCTCGCTATTGACTGCTCCATTACTGGCAGCATCCGCTACTTTACCAGAATCCACTATACTGGCAGAACCGCTTACTGCAACAGAATCCTCTGACACCCACTCCTCTGAGCCTGTGACTGCACTGTCCTCGTTATTGAGTGCATCAATACTGGAAGCGCCTGCAGCTGCACCTGAACCGGAATCCCCTGCATGGCCAGGATCCCCGCTGTAGCAGTCGGTGTCGCTGGGAGCGCTGGGATGCAGAGCAAGGCGAATAAATCCCACCACCTGGGGCAGAAGCACGAGGGCAGAAGCACGAGGGCAGAAGCACGAGGGCAGAAGCACGAGGGCAGAAGCACGAGGGCAGAAGCACGAGGGCAGAAGCACGAGGGCAGAAGCACGAGGGCAGAAGCACGAGGGCAGAAGCACGAGGGCAGAAGCACGAGGGCAGAAGCACGAGGGCAGAAGCACGAGGGCAGAAGCACGAGGGCAGAAGCACGAGGGCAGAAGCACGAGGGCAGAAGCACGAGGGCAGAAGCACGAGGGCAGAAGCACGAGGGCAGAAGCACGAGGGCAGAAGCACGAGGGCAGAAGCACGAGGGCAGAAGCACGAGGGCAGAAGCACGAGGGCAGAAGCACGAGGGCAGAAGCACGAGGGCAGAAGCACGAGGGCAGAAGCACGAGGGCAGAAGCACGAGGGCAGAAGCACGAGGGCAGAAGCACGAGGGCAGAAGCACGAGGGCAGAAGCACGAGGGCAGAAGCACGAGGGCAGAAGGCAAGCACGTGGCATGAGGGCAATGGCGTGATGGCGATGGGCAGTGGGGCACACACGAGAAAAGCACAGAAAAAACATCACTACAGAAACTTGCTTGTGATAAATGGAGATCATATTCACAAACGTCAAAGTCCCTATATCCAAGAAGATGCGGAATGGAGGACACCCTTACTTGCTGTTGCCACCTGCTGAATATTCCACTCCAGAACATGAACGCGTGAAAGGGCAAAGCCCACATTGCCTATTGCATCGTGCCATGCCATGCCATGCCATGCATTCATGGCCAGGGGAGGGTGCAGTCAGTGTGACGTGCCATGCACTCACAGCGAGGGGGGTGCAGTTATCATGGGAGTCGCAGACCTTCTCATCAAGCACCTCCGCCACGCCCTTGCCGTCGTCTGAGATCATGCGCCTGGCAGGGAGGCGGGAAGATGCATGACTTGGGAAATTCCTTAAATGGAAGTTTTCTGTTAGTATGAGATTTTTAGGAATCATATGTTTTAGGAATCATAATTTTAGGAATCATATGTAATCCAAGCGTCTGAAATCATGTGCCCAGGAAACCAAGCGTCTGAAATCATGTGCCCAGGAAACCAAGCGTCTGAAATCATGTGCCCAGGAAACCAAGCGTCTGAAATCATGTGCCCAGGAGGCAGACAATCCCCCCAACCCTCCCCCACACGCCCTTCCCACTGTTTGAAATCATGGGCCTGAGAGGGACGAATGCGCAGGGGAGAGAGAGGTGTGAGGGAGTGAGAGAAGGAGCAGTGAGTGAGTCTGTGTGAGGAAAGGAACAGTGAGTGGGTCTGAGTGAGGGAAGAAACAGGGACGGAAAGAGTGGTGGTTGGCGGTGTAAACACATAGGGGCTTATACCTACTCTTCAAAACTACACCTCAAGAAGACTATAAACATCAACCTCACCATGAAACTACAGTAATGCTGTGCCGGCTCATGGCACATGAAGCCACGCCTCAGCACTCACCCTGCAGCATCAATTCCAGCTGCCCGTCTACATGGCTGGCCGCCCCCAGTGGGCGGTGCACAGTGGCGGTGCACAGTGGCGGTGCACAGTGGCGGTGCACAGTGGCGGTGCACAGTGGCGGTGCACAGTGGCGGTGCACAGTGGCGGTGCACAGTGGCGGTGCACAGTGGCGGTGCACAGTGGCGGTGCACAGTGGCGGTGCACAGTGGCGGTGCACAGTGGCGGTGCACAGTGGCGGTGCACAGTGGCGGTGCACAGTGGCGGTGCACAGTGGCGGTGCACAGTGGCGGTGCACAGTGGCGGTGCACAGTGGCGGTGCACAGTGGCGGTGCACAGTGGCGGTGCACAGTGGCGGTGCACAGTGGCGGTGCACAGTGGCGGTGCACAGTGGCGGTGCACAGTGGCGGTGCACAGTGGCGGTGCACAGTGGCTATTACCTACTCCACAACCGGCACCCACGCCTCCTCACCGCTCACCGGTGCAGCATGACTTCGATCTGCCCGTCTGCCAGGCTGGCCGCCCCCAGTGGCCGGTCCACCAGCAGTGAGAGCTGGGCGGTGCTGTCCGCTATGAACGCCCCTGCTGTGAGCTGTGGGCGGGCATGGGAGGATGGGATGGGAAGGGAGAGGCGATGCACGGAGGGAATAAGAGGGCAGACGAGGTGGGGCGAGTATTCTCAGGCACCTCAACGGGCAACCAGCAGCGAGAGCTGGGCGGTGCTGTCCGCAATGAACGCCCCTGCTGTGAGCTGTGGGCGGGCATAGGAGGGGGCATGGATGGGCGATGCTCGCAGGAGAGAGGAGGAGAGAGGAGGCAGAGGAGGAGAGAGGAAGGCAGTGGAGGAGATGTTAGGCAGAGGAGGGGAAAGGAGGGGAGAGGAGGGGAGAGGAGGGCAGAGGAGGAGAGAGGACGGCAGATGAAGGGAAAGGAGGGGAGAGGAGGGCAGGGGAGGGCAGAGGAGGGCATGGGAGACGCCGTGTGACGCGCCTGGGAGCTCGTGTTTTACATGCTGGCATGTGCACAGCACATGCGAAAATGTGCCATGCGATATACAAACAGCAGCAATATGCTCAATGTCACATGCACGTCCATGCAACGGCACCATCTACACACACCAGTCGCGGGCATGCCAACAAGTGCTGCCGAAAAATGCCATTTATACATGTCACACAGACACCTGAGAGCAGTGACTGACAGGGTAGAAGTTGCCTGCGATTGGCTGGTAGACGGTGAGGTTCCAATCCGATCGATGGTTGCGCACCTGATAGGCGTGGGGGCATGGGACGGATGGGGGGGGGGATGAGGGAGGAGGGAGGGAGCATGGGATTTTGGGGCGTGTTAAAGGTGCGACAGGCTGGTAGGAGGTGAGGTACTAACGGTGGCCGATCCGATGGTGAGGTACTAATCCGACCGATGGTTGCGCTCCTGATGGGCATGGCGGCATGCGAGGCACAGAGCATGAGGATGACAGGGTTCAGGGGGGGCAGGGTTGTTGGAGGGGCGGCATGGCATGCTGACACAAGGGCACACAAGGGCACACAAGGGCACACAAGGGCACACAAGGGCACACAAGGGCACACAAGGGCACACAAGGGCACACAAGGGCACACAAGGGCACACAAGGGCACACAAGGGCACACAAGGGCACACAAGGGCACACAAGGGCACAGAAGGGCACAGAAGGGCACAGAAGGGCACAGAAGGGCACAGAAGGGCACAGAAGGGCACAGAAGGGCACAGAAGGGCACAGAAGGGCACAGAAGGGCACAGAAGGGCACAGAAGGGCACAGAAGGGCACACAAGGGCACAGAAGGGCACAGAAGGGCACAGAAGGGCACACAAGGGCACAGAAGGGCACAGAAGGGCACACAAGGGCACAGAAGGGCACAGAAGGGCACAGAAGGGCACACAAGGGCACACAAGGGCACAGAAGGGCACAGAAGGGCACAGAAGGGCACAGAAGGGCACACAAGGGCACAGAAGGGCACAGAAGGGCACACAAGGGCACAGAAGGGCACAGAAGGGCACAGAAGGGCACAGAAGGGCACAGAAGGGCACAGAAGGGCACAGAAGGGCACAGAAGGGCACAGAAGGGCACAGAAGGGCACACAAGGGCACACAAGGGCACACAAGGGCACACAAGGGCACAGAAGGGCACAGAAGGGCACAGAAGGGCACAGAAGGGCACAGAAGGGCACAGAAGGGCACAGAAGGGCACAGAAGGGCACAGAAGGGCACAGAAGGGCACACAAGGGCACAGAAGGGCACAGAAGGGCACAGAAGGGCACAGAAGGGCACAGAAGGGCACAGAAGGGCACAGAAGGGCACAGAAGGGCACAGAAGGGCACAGAAGGGCACACAAGGGCACAGAAGGGCACAGAAGGGCACACAAGGGCACACAAGGGCACACAAGGGCACAGAAGGGCACAGAAGGGCACAGAAGGGCACAGAAGGGCACACAAGGGCACACAAGGGCACACAAGGGCACACAAGGGCACACAAGGGCACACAAGGGCACAGAAGGGCACACAAGGGCACACAAGGGCACACAAGGGCACAGAAGGGCACACAAGGGCACACAAGGGCACACAAGGGCACACAAGGGCACACAAGGGCACACAAGGGCACAGAAGGGCACAGAAGGGCACACAAGGGCACACAAGGGCACAGAAGGGCACACAAGGGCACACAAGGGCACAGAAGGGCACAGAAGGGCACAGAAGGGCACAGAAGGGCACAGAAGGGCACACAAGGGCACACAAGGGCACACAAGGGCACACAAGGGCACAGAAGGGCACAGAAGGGCACAGAAGGGCACAGAAGGGCACACAAGGGCACACAAGGGCACAGAAGGGCACAGAAGGGCACAGAAGGGCACAGAAGGGCACACAAGGGCACAGAAGGGCACAGAAGGGCACAGAAGGGCACAGAAGGACACACAAGGGCACAGAAGGGCACAGAAGGGCACACAAGGGCACAGAAGGGCACAGAAGGGCACAGAAGGGCACAGAAGGGCACAGAAGGGCACAGAAGGGCACAGAAGGGCACAGAAGGGCACAGAAGGGCACAGAAGGGCACAGAAGGGCACAGAAGGGCACAGAAGGGCACACAAGGGCACACAAGGGCACACAAGGGCACAGAAGGGCACAGAAGGGCACAGAAGGGCACAGAAGGGCACAGAAGGGCACAGAAGGGCACAGAAGGGCACAGAAGGGCACAGAAGGGCACAGAAGGGCACAGAAGGGCACACAAGGGCACAGAAGGGCACAGAAGGGCACAGAAGGGCACAGAAGGGCACAGAAGGGCACAGAAGGGCACAGAAGGGCACAGAAGGGCACAGAAGGGCACAGAAGGGCACACAAGGGCACAGAAGGGCACAGAAGGGCACACAAGGGCACACAAGGGCACAGAAGGGCACAGAAGGGCACAGAAGGGCACAGAAGGGCACACAAGGGCACACAAGGGCACACAAGGGCACACAAGGGCACACAAGGGCACACAAGGGCACAGAAGGGCACACAAGGGCACACAAGGGCACACAAGGGCACAGAAGGGCACAGAAGGGCACACAAGGGCACACAAGGGCACACAAGGGCACACAAGGGCACACAAGGGCACAGAAGGGCACAGAAGGGCACAGAAGGGCACACAAGGGCACACAAGGGCACACAAGGGCACACAAGGGCACACAAGGGCACACAAGGGCACACAAGGGCACACAAGGGCACACAAGGGCACACAAGGGCACACAAGGGCACACAAGGGCACACAAGGGCACACAAGGGCACAGAAGGGCACATAAGGGCACAGAAGGGCACACAAGGGCACACAAGGGCACACAAGGGCACACAAGGGCACAGAAGGGCACACAAGGGCACACAAGGGCACACAAGGGCACACAAGGGCACACAAGGGCACACAAGGGCACAGAAGGGCACAGAAGGGCACAGAAGGGCACAGAAGGGCACACAAGGGCACACAAGGGCACACAAGGGCACACAAGGGCACAGAAGGGCACAGAAGGGCACACAAGGGCACAGAAGGGCACAGAAGGGCACAGAAGGGCACAGAAGGGCACAGAAGGGCACAGAAGGGCACAGAAGGGCACACAAGGGCACAGAAGGGCACAGAAGGGCACACAAGGGCACAGAAGGGCACAGAAGGGCACAGAAGGGCACAGAAGGGCACAGAAGGGCACAGAAGGGCACAGAAGGGCACAGAAGGGCACAGAAGGGCACAGAAGGGCACACAAGGGCACAGAAGGGCACAGAAGGGCACACAAGGGCACACAAGGGCACACAAGGGCACAGAAGGGCACAGAAGGGCACAGAAGGGCACAGAAGGGCACAGAAGGGCACACAAGGGCACACAAGGGCACACAAGGGCACACAAGGGCACACAAGGGCACACAAGGGCACACAAGGGCACACAAGGGCACACAAGGGCACACAAGGGCACACAAGGGCACACAAGGGCACACAAGGGCACACAAGGGCACACAAGGGCACACAAGGGCACACAAGGGCACACAAGGGCACACAAGGGCACAGAAGGGCACAGAAGGGCACACAAGGGCACACAAGGGCACACAAGGGCACACAAGGGCACAGAAGGGCACAGAAGGGCACAGAAGGGCACAGAAGGGCACACAAGGGCACACAAGGGCACACAAGGGCACACAAGGGCACACAAGGGCACACAAGGGCACAGAAGGGCACACAAGGGCACACAAGGGCACACAAGCGCACAGAAGGGCACACAAGGGCACACAAGGGCACACAAGGGCACACAAGGGCACACAAGGGCACACAAGGGCACAGAAGGGCACACAAGGGCACAGAAGGGCACACAAGGGCACACAAGGGCACACAAGGGCACACAAGGGCACACAAGGGCACACAAGGGCACACAAGGGCACACAAGGGCACACAAGGGCACACAAGGGCACACAAGGGCACACAAGGGCACACAAGGGCACAGAAGGGCACACAAGGGCACACAAGGGCACACAAGGGCACACAAGGGCACACAAGGGCACAGAAGGGCACAGAAGGGCACAGAAGGGCACAGAAGGGCACACAAGGGCACACAAGGGCACAGAAGGGCACACAAGGGCACACAAGGGCACACAAGGGCACAGAAGGGCACACAAGGGCACACAAGGGCACACAAGGGCACAGAAGGGCACACAAGGGCACACAAGGGCACACAAGGGCACACAAGGGCACAGAAGGGCACAGAAGGGCACACAAGGGCACACAAGGGCACAAAAGGGCACACAAGGGCACACAAGGGCACACAAGGGCACACAAGGGCACACAAGGGCACAGAAGGGCACACAAGGGCACAGAAGGGCACACAAGGGCACACAAGGGCACACAAGGGCACACAAGGGCACACAAGGGCACACAAGGGCACACAAGGGCACAGAAGGGCACACAAGGGCACAGAAGGGCACACAAGGGCACACAAGGGCACACAAGGGCACACAAGGGCACACAAGGGCACACAAGGGCACACAAGGGCACACAAGGGCACACAAGGGCACACAAGGGCACACAAGGGCACACAAGGGCACACAAGGGCATAGAAGGGCACAGAAGGGCACAGAAGGGCACACAAGGGCACACAAGGGCACACAAGGGCACACAAGGGCACACAAGGGCACACAAGGGCACAGAAGGGCACACAAGGGCACAGAAGGGCACACAAGGGCACACAAGGGCACACAAGGGCACACAAGGGCACACAAGGGCACACAAGGGCACACAAGGGCACACAAGGGCACACAAGGGCACACAAGGGCACAGAAGGGCACAGAAGGGCACAGAAGGGCACAGAAGGGCACACAAGGGCACACAAGGGCACAGAAGGGCACAGAAGGGCACACAAGGGCACACAAGGGCACAGAAGGGCACAGAAGGGCACAGAAGGGCACAGAAGGGCACAGAAGGGCACAGAAGGGCACAGAAGGGCACAGAA